CTGAGGATATTGTCAGGTGTCAAGACTTCATGTCTGCTTTTTGAAATGCTCTCATCTCCTTAGCTGTAGAGTAGGATTCCCAACCCTGTAATAAAATCATGAATTATAAAAATGGGAGTGAATTAAGAAATTACCTAGCCCTAGTGGGTTTTGAACATGCCTTAGGGGCAAATGGCTTTCTTCCTACAGAACCTTTTCTAGAAATATATCCAGAGAGATCCTTCTTAGAGTGAGTTGTTGGTTGTAGCTGGAGTGTGCATATGTGAGTTTTGTGTGTTTGTGAGCCCATACACAATCTCTTTGGGCCTTAGTTTATATGCATATCGATATATATATACATACACATATATAAATCTGTGAATGTGGATGATACGGTTCTGGAAAATATTTGGTTTGGAGAATGACCGCAGCATGGCCGTGTCCTGCCAAAACACCTGGAGACCTGGATTTGAGTCCCGGCAGTGTCGGTTGCCAGGTGTGGAGTGAGGAGCCTTGAGGAATAGAGACTTGCCCCCTCTGCAGCCTCTCCATCCTTGATCTGCCACCGATCTAGGCAGTCCCTGGCCATTCAGGACAAGAAAGGGGAAGGACGGTGGCTCTTCTGAGGCTGGTTGGTAAAGGAGGAGCCCTTGAACCCTGGTCTCCCTGCTCCAGTCACGTACCTTCCTCTTTGCTGTTCCCCAGGGCAGCCAGCATGGGGCAGGAGGGCAGGAAGGCTGCAGCTGTGTTGTGGGGCTTCACTCCCGGCCCTGGCTGGCATTGGCGGGCACATGCTTTGTCTCAGGCCTGTGCTCTGTCGGGGGGCAGCCCTGGATTCATCCCCTGGGGCAGAACCACACTCCTGGGAGACAAAGTCATGCCCCCCTCGAAACTGGGACGTGTGGGCAGACGGGGGCTCACACTGCTGAGGAAGAAGTACGCTCCCAGGATGGGACTCCAGACGGAAACTCCTAAGCATATGTTGCCACCTTGGGGGCAAAAAAAATACCCCAAAGATCAAAATGCAGAGGCAGGGCAAGTAAAAATGATGTAAGCACATGCTACCCCTGATAGATGACAAAGTACCCCCCATCCGTGTTCTCATCTAGTCCTCACCGGTCCCGCAACGTTGGCGTCATTGATTGCCTTTTCTATCTGAGCAAACTGAAGCTGTCGGAGATGGAGTGCTCTGCTCCACGTCCTACTACTGACCCCTTGGAAGTGGCAGCACCTGCCAACCCAGGCTCTCTCACCAGAACTAAAAGTGGTCCGTCTCGGAGCTTGGGGCAGGGTGGTGGGGGGGGGGGGGCGCTACACAATGATGTGGAAGCAGGACATTGAATGGAATTGAGGTGGAGGGCATGGGAAAGTGCCAGGGGGAGGGGGAGAGGAGGGCCAAGACCAAAGATTCCGGGACCCCTAAGCCAAAGGGGTGGGTGTCTCCTTTGGGCCACTCTGGCTCTTCCCTCCTACAGACTCCAGACACAGGGCACTGTGGTCTTTGCTCAGAGCCCGCTGCCTGCCCGAGCCTGGGAGCTGCCTGAGGCCAGGGCGGCCGGACCGTGGACCGTGCGGAGGGCATTGGCTGGAGGAAGGAGCGTGCCACCCGCCGGCTCAGTCTCTGGGCCGGGCCCTGCCCCGGGTGCTTTTCCATGAGCTAGAGGGTCTTGTGGCCATTTTCCAGGTGAGGGAATCCGATGCAAAGAGGAGATAAGGAATCATTCGAAGAGTTTTGAGGGGTAGGAGAATTTACAACAGTAGGAAAAGTGGGGAGTTATGTATGCCTAGAAGAGCTGGACCTTTCTGGAAACCTTATCTAGCTTTTCAAGGACATAGCCAGTCTGCCAGGCTCTGAACCCAGAGTGAAGTCTCATTAGCATTCAGAGGGGGAAGGAACCGTGGGGGACGCCATCCAGGGCATTGGGAAGAGACAGGCTGTGTTTTAATTACGACCTGGACTTTTGAACAAATCCTTTTCCCTGCTTGTCTGAGCCTTAGAGAAAACAACTTGTGGGAGGTGTGCCGTCGGCAGCTGGGTCCACAGTGATACCCACACAGCTGTGTACACATCTGGCACACAGGTGGTGGACGGCATGAGCCTCTTCTCCTTGAGTTGCTCTGGGGTTAGGGAGGGTAACAAGAGTCAAGGTAGCGAGGTGAGGTTGGCCTGGTCTTTACCCAGAGCGGGAGGGCCGGTGGAGAGAATGGACAGAAACAGGACTGCGCCCCCCTCTTCCCGGCCCCGTCGTCCCCACTGCCCGTGACCATTTCAGGATTGGAGCCCAGACTCTTCTCCAGCCGCTCCTGAGTCAACACGGTGGGCTTTCTTTGCAGAGCCCCCTCTGACCCTCCCGTCTCCAACTTGGGGGGAACTTTTAGGAGAGGGGGATGGAATTCAGAAGGGCAGAGGAGGGGGAGGAGATTAACAGGGTAGGAGTTAGGCAAGCTCGGATGCTGCCACCTGCGGCTGCAGATTCTTGTTCTTGCAGCGCTTGTTGACTCCCCGGAGCGTTCGCCTTGAGTCTGCTTAAAGGTTCATTCCAGGGGAAGGGGAGGAGAAGGAGGGCTTGGGGGACAAAGGGCCTTTGACCAGCTCCTGGAAAAGCACTGATTAGTTTGCTCAGGTTGGCAAACAGTGACTAGGGACTAGGGGCCCGGGGATGAACCGGGCGATTTTTCTGCCCAGTGAGTGGCGTCTAGCGTGGGGGCAGGAAGTAAAAGCGAATGTTCGGGGACTGGTGTTGGATACGGAGACCAAAACCACACAAGGCAGCTGGAGGAAGGGGGGAGGAAGAGGCAGGGCTGCTGGTGTGTGGAGTTGTGGTTTGGGGCTGTTGTATACCTTGTCAGTGGCGAAAGCCCACGCCAGCCCCTTGGAGGTTGAGAGACAGAGGGCAGGCATATAAGGTTGGGGATTTCTAAGGTGCTCCTGATGCCAAAGGGGTTGCCAAAGGCAATTATGTTATCGTGAGGCAATTTAAAAAAGAACTAGATCTCCTTTAAATTTTAATCTGTCTCAGACTAGCCTGAACTGTTATTGATCTGGGGGTGGGCAAGGAGAAGAGTTACTTTTATTGGGACCTACTCTGTGGCAGCCCCTATGTGAGGCTCTTTACACGTGTTATTTTAGGAGAACCAGTTAGATCTATGGGTCAAATCAAATCAACTCTTAGTGAGTTTCCGCCATGTGCAAGCGGTTGTGGGTTATAGAGCTTTTCCACAGGTCTTCTTCTTCCAATACAGGCTGTTGGCGGGAGCAGTTACAAGCATGGGAAAAGTTAAATGATAAGGCAAGATTAAGATGTTTCAAGTCAGCAGTAGGAAGCGATCACCCTAAGGCTTTTAAAAAAATTTTTATTTATTTTTTTTAAGATTTTATTTGGGAGAGCGAGTGAGAGTGAGCAGGGGGAGCAGAGGGGCAGAGGGAGGGGGAAAGAATCTCAAGCGGACTCTGCGCTGCGTGTGGACCCCAACGCTGGGCTCGATCTCCCGGCCCTGGGATCATGACTGAGCCGAAACCAAGAGCCGGACGCTTAACCCACTGAGCCCCCCGGGCGCCCGGTGTTTGGTATCTTCAAACATCTCCGGGAAGCTACTGAATGAGCAGCACAGACACATCATGTAAAGGTGTTCAAAGGAGGGGCAGTTACTTCAGACCTGGGCAGGGCAGGCAGAGGCAGTATTCATGGAGTGGGACCTGCTGTATCCTGAAGGGTGGTTGGGATTCGGCTAGATTAAACAGACAAGGATGGGCTTCGCAGGAGGGTGGGATGGCGTTAATAGGCCCAGAGGCAGGAAATCAGAAACGTGTGCAGGGGCGGCAACATCATCATCAGCCACCAGCTCTGACCACCAGCAGCCTGGGAACCAACCCCCCACGCTTCCCTGTCTGCAAATTGTGGGTTCTGTCCCCTCCTCTCTGCTGACCCTTGTCACTGCTCAGCAGCTTTCCCTCCCTCGTCTCTCTGACTCCATTTCCACTCTACCCTTCATGCTACAAAGGGTTCCTTTTCCTAAACAGGGCTCTTATCACGTTAAACATCGTTCAGCAACTCCCCGTTGCTTGCCAGACGATGTCCAGCCTGAGTGTGTGAACGGTCACGTCTGGCCTCCCCTGTTCCCCTGCTCGGGGCTGCCTGCCTTCAACCTGCTGGAGCACGCAGCATGCTCTGAGCCCTGGGCCTTCACACCGCTGTTCCCTCTGCTTGGGATCCCCTCCTCCTACCCCGTTACTCCATCAGCCTGCCCGCCTTCCTGTCTTTCCTTTGACCGAGATTCACCGACCTCATGATAAAACGCGAATCGCCCTCTGCGCCCCTGATTGTTCCTTGTGTCCCCCAACATGCTCTGAAGCCATTATTTGGATGCGTCATTAGCCTGAGCTCATTTCCGATAGGGATTTTCTTTCATTCACCTTGGCATCATTTGTACCCACTGCTTTGGCTGGGCATAGAGGGATACCCTCGACGTGGTTTGCTGGAAATAAATGAAATGAGAAGTCCCGAGAGAGGCTGAATCCATCGAATGCCACCACGGGAAGCTGGGATGCAGTTTCTCTCTCAAAAACCAGATTACACATCAGAATGCCCTGGCAAGCTTGCTAGAGAGGCACATTCTGGGGTTCCCCTTTTCTATACTGATAGGAGGGGGCCTGGACATATTTGTGTTCCTGTTATTTGGTTTAAACAATAAGCTTCCCCAGGGATTCTGGGCAGCTGCCTGGCCCCAGTACATAGACCTCCCTTTGGGAACACCGTGTCCTAGACCCACACCAGTCACATCCTGGGCTCAGACTGCAGCCAGTGCCTCTGCCCCTGCTTTTCTTAAGCCTTGGTGAGGAACTCACCTGCATCCTTCGGTTCCACCCCGTCAGGGAGTACATCACCTGGATTTCCAGCGTATTCCATTCCAACCAACTTCACCCCAGTTCTTGGAGTCTCTTTTGCCGTTGGCCAGAGGCCCGCTGGGCCCGATCAGACCTTTCTCAAAGACCTTGCTTCTCTTTCTCCCCCTTCTGCCAGGCTGTTTGCGGTCAAATGTGGGGGCTGCTTCGAGGCCATTGCACCCAATGAGTTCGTCATGCGGGCCCAGAAGAGTGTGTACCACCTGAGCTGCTTCTGCTGCTGCGTCTGTGAGCGGCAGCTCCAGAAGGGCGACGAGTTTGTCCTGAAGGAGGGACAGTTGCTCTGCAAAGGGGACTATGAGAAGGAGCGGGAGCTACTCAGCCTGGTGAGCCCAGCAGCGTCAGACTCAGGTGAGTGCCGCGCGGGGGGCAGTGGGGGTGCGTGGGAAGGGTGGGACGGTGGGGTGAGCTCACCGTCTGCATTGCTCTCTCCCCAGAGGCCCAGCCACTGGGGCAGCTACAGGGCATGATCTTCTCTGGGCAGGGACAAAGGTGCAAGAAGGCACGCCTAATCTTACAAGTGCATTTCAAGCCTCTGCTCATACTGTGTGGGCTAACGGTCCACTGGCTAAAGCAAATTAAAAGCTCAAACCCAAAGCCCAAGGGAGGAGAGGTATACTTCACGCCCCACAAGGGCCTGCTAGGCTATAGATACGTGATACTGTTAAAGGGAATGATGCACTGGAACCAGTAATTCGGTCTGTTTTCCCATCTGTCAGGTGGGAAAGCTGGAAGCTACCTGAGGCTGGGCGGGTCATGGAGAGAAAGGAACTAGAATGTACCACTCACCCAACCCCCACCCTTCCTGCCTTAGGGCAGGGGGAGAGGGGATGGCAGAACTCCAGTGATTGCGTAGAGCGCATTTCAGAAGGCCAGGGAAATTGAATTAAGTGTCCAGGTTGAGCATGTGTCTGTCTCCACTGGGTAGCGTTTGTCTGGCTCTGCCCCTCCCTTCTCTAAATCGGTGAGAGCCCCATGGCCTTCCTAATTCTTGCCGATCCCAGTGTAATTCCAGCCCCCTGAACACGCCTATAACCTCCTGCTGCCCACCTCTTCAGCCGCTCGGGGACCTCTGAGTCCCCCGCGCTCTTCCCTTGGCCTTGCTGGACTCCAGCACATCAGTGTCTCCTACTCAGCTCCACGCCTTATACTTTCATCCCCCTTCTGCCCCTCTTGCGCACTTTGGGGTCTTGCCAGCATATTCTTTCAGCTTCTGTCTCAGGGCTCTTCATCCCTGGCGTCACTGAGTTGACCCTTAACTCCCCCTCCTGGGCCACCCATCCCACTTTATTGCGGTTGCTTGTCTGGCTCTTTGTTGTTCTTGCCAAGTGCTAAGCCCCACGAGGGACGGCATGTGTCTCTTTCGCCACTGTGTCCCCAGGGCTTAGCACAGGCCTGGAACACTCAGGGTGCTTGACAAACTCGTACAGGAGTGAGTAAACTCTTGAAACAAAAGCACTGTGGCAGGATGCTTGAGTCCAGGGGCTGTGGGGACAGATATGGGGGGCTCTCCCTGGCTGACCTGCTTACAGCCATGTGACTGTGGGCAACTTTTGGAATCTCCCTAAGCCTCAGTTTCCATAGCTGTAAAGTCTTGATAGTCACGCCTCCCTCACAGTTTTATTGGGGGGAAATAAAAGAAAGAATGCATACCAAAGCCTGGCACGCATTACACTGTGGGCGCTGAACGCCCACCTGCTGGTCATATGATGCTGTTTTGCTTCCTTTACCTCCCCGTTGGTTCTTCTTGCCTGACTCTGCTTGCAGCCTTAAGTAAGCGGACACCAGGACAATCCCAACTCTGCCCATCTTCAGTTTTCCTGGATTTGTCTTAATTCGGAGGCAGTTTCTCCTTTTCCAGAACGCTGCCACTGACACATTGGGAATCTCCTGCTGGGGTAATCGGGCCCCTTCTAACCAAACTTCATGGCCTCCACTCGGTATAAGAAGGTCAGCTCAGCGCTCAGCATGGATCCCCCTCTAGGTGTCTTGTGGTGCCCACCCACTGAGGCCTCCTTCCCAGAATATTGCAAAGTCTTCAAAGGGCTTAGGTGCTATGGTGATCAGAATGCTAGTGGGACTTTGAAAAGATAGGCACACCCCGAGGGACATGCCATTCTTCCTCACATGGGCAGACGTGCTGTGGTCTAGCCCTTCTTGGCATGATTGTGTGGGGCTTGACTATGAAATTATCCAGTTGGTCCCTGTGTTAAGGACTCACAGACTTTAATTGACTACAGAATTAAGGTGAGGCATGAATGTACCGTCCCCCGCATCCCACCCCCTGTGCAAAGACAAAAAAAAAAAAGCTGGATCTGAGCAGCGTTAATAGAAACAAAATGTTCAGAGTATGGGAACTGCTAGGGGCCTGCTTTTCTGACCCCATTTTCGGCAACAGGTTCCATTCTGAGCATTTTCTTTGGACGCTGCTGTAGACCCAGTAGAGCTTTCTGGTTCACTTATCTACACATTCGTTCGGCCGATGTACCTTGAGCGCTTACTTTATGCCAGGGATAGAGTCAAAAGGGGAATGACAAGAATGATGCAGGGGTGAGGAGATCTCAAAATCATGTCAGATGAAGGAAGTATAGATGTTTAGGCTAGAAAAGTAAAGACAACATGAGGGCATAATTGTTGTCTTCCCAGGGTTGGATCGGACCTATTTCTAACTTCAGAGAGCAGACTTAGAATTCACTCAATTATCTAACAAAATCATTGAGTATTTACATTATAGATAGGAAGGTAAAGGCTAGCAATTCGGACTCAACATTGGGAGTGCTAGAATGTCATCCTAATTATTAGAGCTAACAAAGAATAAGACTACTCAAAGAGGTAGTTCCCCTACTTGTTGAAACTAATATTGGTGTGGCGGGAGAGGAGAATGGTTCTAGAGGATGTCCGTTGTCCCTTTCAACTTGAAAAATCTATCCTTGTTTAGCAGCTTTAAGCAAAACGATATTAAAATCTCAGCCAGAACCAAGTGGTATTTTTTGTCAATTTTATCATTTTGTCAATTATATAAATATTGCCCGTCTTACATCAGAAAATATCGTGTGTGCCAAATCCTGCCTCACTAATGAGAGGATAAGCTTCTAAGAAACAGGGTTGTAGGTTTTCATTCCTTTGTTCCCTCAGCAAAGCTTAGCCTGATGCCAAGGGGAAGAGTAAGTGATCAATAAGTACCTAATGAGCGGAATTCAATCTTCAAGGAAAGAAGCCCACCTCGTATTGGGGGGCTTACAAAAAGCAAACAATTTTAGGATGTGTCTCAGTACAAACACAATTTCTCCTCTTATATCTGTCTCGAGTGCTCTACATATCACAGGTACTTGATCAATATTTGGTGAGTGAATGATTGAATGGGCTATCATCCTTAAGGTTTTTATCAATGATTTGGATGAAGGCACAGAAGGCAGGTTTCTTTGATTTGCAGATGACACAAAGCTGGCAGGGAACGCTGGTGGGGCAGCTGAGATGCTCCATGTTCAAAAGGATTTTGACAAGCTCACAAAATAGCACAAAGTCAGCAAGATGAAATTGAACCATTGGCTTCCAAAATTCAATAGTGATGATGTGGAACAGGGCCTGTTTGGGTGGAATTCCACATGGGGTTTTGTCCGTGGGAGCCACAAGGAATCCTGTATTAATAGAACTATAATGTCCCTAACTTGTAATTATAGCTCCAATTTTGTATTGCTTAGCACACATTTAAGATATGTGGTCTCATTTTAAGTAATGCATTTGAGGACATCACTGACAAATTAGAGAGAGGGTCCAGAGGAGAGTGATTGCCTTATTGAACAATAAATAGCTAAAGAAACTCTGTATATTTAGTTCTGTGAAAATAAGGCTAAGGGAAATAGGAGAGTCATACCCAAGGGTGCAGACCCATGTCATGTGGACGAAATGACAGGTTTTGGTGTCCAACAAGGGTGCAGACTAGACCCTTTATGAGAAGTGGAAAGGCTTGTCTCTTAACATATTGATCACAGTGTGTGGAAGACAAGACCAGTGACCTCTAGGGCTACTTAAATGGAGGATTCTAGAATCTATGGTGTTATGATGCTGACTATTCTGACTTACAGAAAAGCATGGGGCACATTTGCAGCTCTAAGGGACACCAAATTTGGAGATCTTTAGCTGCTGGATCTCTTTTCTGGTGTGGCCAGAAAACCTTTTATCCCAATCCCTGCTTTGCCAATGGCCTGGAAGCAGCCTCTCAAGAAGAAGAATGATGTTTGTAGCTGGAGTCTGACAATTTTCTTTGGGCTTAATGGGCAACGTGAATGCCCGGGCCTCCAGGAGAGACCTAGTGACATTCATGCCTGTGCTCTCCTTCTTGGCCAGAGAATCACACGGGCTTGCGATTGGAAGGCACACGAGAGGTTCTTCAGTTCACATCCCACCAAATGCTCATGCGGCCTCTGTCGGTGTGTCTCCAGCCATGGGGAATGCTTGGTCTCACGTTCTGAGTGTGGATTGTCAGAATTGTTAGACGGAGCCCCAGTGTCTGTCTCCATGTACAACCTCAACCTGGGCCTTGGTTCCAGAACTCACAAAATCAGCCAGTCTCTCTGACACATGGCAGCCCTTTGCATTGCAGACGGAGGTACATTGCATACTCCCTGAGTCCTCTCTTGTCCTGTCTCATTTTGCCCCATTCTTCCAACTGTCCTGTAGAGGAGACTGCTCTATCTGTAAACATATGGCAGCCTCTCTAGAAGGTACCATCCAGAAAGGCATGGAATCTTCGACATGTGGTCTGAACTAGCACAGTGTTATTACTACTACTTGTCATGGACGTCGTGTTCTATTGACGTGGCCCATGATTTCAATGGCTTTTTTGACCTGGGGTGGGGCGGAGGCTTGGGGGCTGATCGTAGGCAATCATATTCTCCTGGCTGGTTCGTGTTGCATGTCTTAGTTATTTACCCCCTTCATATTTCGACTTCAGAGGTCATCTGAGACTGTCTTGTGCAACGGTTTTTTTTTTTTTTTTTTTTTTTTTGAGAGAGAGAGAGAGAGAGAGAGCATGAGAGGAGGGAGGGTCAGAGGGAGAAGCAGACTCCCTGCCGAGCAGGGAGCCCGATGCAGGACTCGATCCCGGGACTCCAGGATCATGACCCGAGCCGAAGGCAGTCGCTCAACCAACTGAGCCACCCAGGCGCCCCTTGTGCAACAGTTTTAAAAAACTTTATTTTGAAATAAAATTTTAGATTTACGGAACGATTGCAAAGTAAGACAAATTGCCATATAGCCTTCATCTGGCTTCCCCTAATGTTAGCATTTCACAGTGACGTGTACGTTTTGATAAGTGTATCATGTGAACTAAGAAATTAACATCAGTCCAG